AAAGGGAATATGGGGTGTCTGGGATGATAGCTATTCTTACAGGCATGGTTTTGGGGGATTATCTTTGAAAACTTTGCTGCTGTGTAATTTACACTGCTACTGCTGGTAATGACTGTAAGAAATATGAGAAGCACTAATGAGTATGGATCACTGTTCTCCTAGAATGTAAAAAAAACGGAGCATGGGGAGTGATGACCCTGTATGACAGATCAATCAGGCTGCAGATTGGTTCTTAGGCTATCCAGGTTATTTTCCTTAGAAGGTGTCATGTCTCACACATTCTGCTGAAGGCTATTCTTATCCATTCAAGTTCATGACAGCTATTCTTAGACATTAGTTCATTTTTAACACCATTGCCAAGACTGGAACTGTAATTTTTAATGACAATGAAGAGACGATGTCTCTTTTATCAGGTTCAGATCTATTTAGCTTAAATTAAAATTCTTTGCTATATTTTTCCTATAGTTATTCAAAGGATTAGTGAAAAAATGTCATTGAACAGCTACTTGTCTCCTCATTAACATTCATGACAAAACCTTCCGGCCGGAGCTGGTTTCGGCTGCTGATGGAGCAATACCTAAAAGGAATTGGCTTGTATGTGAAACAGCTGCTCAGCAATGTCAGTATGCAGGGGAATTGGTGATAATAAGATGATACTATTACAGCTACACTGGGAGCATAGTATATTTTAAGCTGCTTTGAGGTATACAGTTGAGGTCCAAGAATTGGAGCATGACTATTTGTCTAGTGCTAGGAACAGGAAACAGCTGATTGTTACATGTCTGCTTATACAGGTTAGTCCTACACAAAGCCTTGAGGTTAAAGAAAAATCTCTATCTGCTGGAATTCTTCATTTCCTGTGTGTTTTCTGTCTGTTGGAAAAGTTTTTTGTTTCTTTTCCTAGTGTTTGGAAAGGTTTGTGTGTCCTTTGCTGAAACAGGTGTTGCCTTCTTTGCTAGGAACATTGAGCACCTGCTATTTCAAAGGAGCTTTTCTCAGTTCGGCGATTTATTTATTTGGCAAGATTCTTAAGTGAAGATTCTCTGGATCCTCATGCACCCATTAGTGAAATTCCAGATACTGATTTTGTTTGAAAAGACCATCCAGTATGTCAATGGAATGAAAAATATGTAGATGTGGGCAATACAGTTGTAAACATCTGCACATAAGGCTCAGCCAAGAAACAACTGGCAGCTAGCATTATGTTGTATGCTAATGCACGCCTCTTGTCTAGAACATGGAAATTGAATGAAAAATAACATTGTCAGACCTTTGGCTCTGAGAAATCTTTGAACCTCACATACTATGAGAAATAAAACAGGAAAAAATGAACGTAGAAGAATGGAGTCGTTAAAAGTCCCAACATACTGACCGCCTCTTAGAAATGTGGAGGACAAATGAATAAGAAATGAAAGCTTATAAAGGGCTTTAAAATGCAAGAAAATTGATTGCCAGTTAAAAGAAAGATTTAACAAGTTCTTATCATAGTTCCAAAAAGCCTAGTAATTTTTAAAGTTCTCTGTTACAAATTTCATATTTAGCTTCTATTGCTTTTAGTTATTACAGAAATTTAGTTCTTGTAAAGACTTGGAAGTACTGTACTTGAGGTAAAATGAAATACAAAACTGACATAGAAATTATGTAAGACCATTGACAGCAGACTGAGGGAGGTGAATCTTTCTCTCAGCTCAGTGTGATAAGGCTACACAGGGAGAGATGGGTCCAGGTCTGCACTCCCCAGTACAAGAGAGATATGGGCACACTGGCACAAGCTCAGCAAAGGGCAGTGAGATGATGAGAGGACTGGATCACTTCTCATAGGAGCAGAGAGAGCTGGGACTGTTGACTATAATACCTCCATCACATCTCAGCCATGCTCTATAATTCTGTATAAGGATGTTTGTCTTACCAGAGGGCTAAAGAGACAATGTTCAAGTTAAAGCAGATTGAATTTCCTTTAAGATTAGATCACGAATCTGGGACAAAATTCTGAAAAGGAAAACAGATCTCAAATTGTCTCTCAAAATGAAAATCATAACATCATTCCATCTATGCCTAAGTGTATGGTTGTGGGGAAGAAAGCAAATAAAACTGTCGGCAGAGGGGCTCGAGACAAACTGCGATGACCAGTGTGATCAGCAAAATGTCCGTCTTTATTTACAAAGATGCCCCTTAAATACTGTTACTACACCCCGGCACGTGATTTCTTCTTCTACAGTATTGGTTACATGAAAGTATTCACAACGTAAACATGCCCTGTTGACCGCTTCTAATCAGTTTATAGCAGGTGTCCATATGAAATGAGGACACAAGTTTACCTCTTGGGACTCCACCTTAATCTTGGCATAGATCCTTCTTTGTCTCAGCTTTAGAGCCTGAAGCCATGTTAACTACACAGCATTTTTTACTGTTTGTACCCAGCTATGCCAAAGCAAGGTTCTCAAAAATGCAGGAGAAATTGCTCACTCAATCTTTGCTCTCCCAACATAAAATAAGAAAGGCAAGGCTTATGAAGGTCAGATCAAAATTCAACAAAGAGTTCACATACTCCCAAGAATACTTATGTTCCAAAACTTAACATTACCCTAAGACATGTCCAGTACAGAAAAAAAAAAAAAAAAGTGAAGGTCTACAAGATATCCCTTCGATGTCCCTTTCAAGAGTTTTCAAAACTATATAAATGTCTGAATGAACAAAGAGCTTGGCAGCAACTCTAGTTTAAATTCACTCCTTACAGGAGCAAAGCTAATATCTATTGCAACATTCCTTAGATGTTCATATATTCATTTATTGCTTACATGAGCTGCTCTTGATAAACACCGGTACTTTACAAAACTTCCATAAAATCATCACAATTGGTTGTATCTGTTTTGTTATTTGTGGTATACTAGCATTAAATGGCAGAATCATGTATCAGAATTCCCTTGTGCAGTCAAAGTACCAAATTAAAAAACAACAACAAAAAAGGATGATTCTTGAACAGTTGAACCACTGACCTTATCTAACAATCTTAATATTGTTTCATACTGAAAAGCAGCATCCTATTTTAAACTGCAACATATTTAGCTGGTTTTACACTGAAAGACAGTCTATTAGGTGAATACATTTTTACATTAATGTATTTACCTCTCCAGAAAGACTAAGCAATTTTTCCATATAAGTGATCAAATGTTGAATAGCTTTAGAATAGCATTAAAATACTGAAAGCATACACTAAGTTCAAATGCTCTCTGATAAGATGCCACATTGCAAATTCCCTTTAAAACATCAGCCATAAGACAGAAGAAAACACTCAGTCTTTTATTCCATTTATTTATCTGTGGAGCAGATCCATAAGAATCCCAGAGTGGAGTACTTAAAAGCAACCAGTAAGTTTCAGCTATACCTTACCATCAGTATTCAGATACAGAATTTCAGTTACTGAAAATGCCATAATGCCCTTAAGTTCATTGCAACATAAAAAGGCCTGAAGTTGCCAAAGAATTAGTAAGGTGACATCTGAACTCTGTGGTCAATGAGCCCAAAATTTTGAGTATACTGCATGGCTCACTGAACACCAGCAATCATCCTGGTTTCCTTCTATAAAAAAAAAAAGAGCCTTGTACATGCCCTAGATGGTTTGAGATATCTGTACTGCTTTCACACTCATCTTGTAAGACCGTACATGACTTCTGGATTTATTTTGTTTATAGATCCTTTGAAGATAAGTAAAATTTTGAAAATCCACTGCACAAAAAGTTCCAAATTCACATTTAAAAGGAAAGTCATCATAATGCAGAACAGTGCACAGTCATTCACATCTTCCAAGGACACTCACTAAATTATATTAGCATCTGATCTGCTGCTGTGGATTTTTCTCCAACTCATCCCCATATTATACATTTTCCATTCCCTTCTTTTTTAATTCATTTTCCCTTCTGTGTCATATTGAGAGAATCAATATTAAAAAAAAAAAATCTTTAATTGGATATGATACAGAATTACCCCAAGGAGTTAGAGACATCTTCACTTTTTTCCTAATGGAACCATAGAGTTCCGAAGTAAGCTTATAATTTTAGAGATAACCTTTCCACCATTCTCCTACATGTGTGTATATGACCAACTACCTGGGGTTAGCCAGCTTTACTCCACCTATTTTCAGGCTTTCAACCTACACAAAGCTCTGCAATCCTCTTTGCAATGCTGATTTATGTCTCTTAATGCCATACCCTTTTCAACTTACACATATGCAGAAGTGCTTAGGGTGACACTTTTAACACAATGCAGATTTCATATTTAGATAAAACGATGACTTAAAAATATGGACACAACCAGGAAAACTGATTAATCTTCATTGTTAAAGACAAGTACTTAGAAAATTGTGACCCCATAACCTTGATCTTACAAAGGTCTTATAAAGGCTGATTGCAAGCGAATAAAACCCCCAAACTGTTCTTGTCAGTTCTTTCTAGGTAGAAAAGATGCGTTTGATACTGCTTAAGTACTTTGTATGATAATCCCTCTCAAATGCAACTGAGGCCTTTGTGTTTGGAAGCCAGAAGTCCTTTTAGAGACTCTGTACTTCACAAGAAAATAATGCAGGAAAAAACCACAGCCTTAAGGCTATAAAAAGGCAAACTACACAAATAGTTCTCTGCAATAACAAAAATCATGGGAGATCCACAGTTCATCTTGCAACAGTGAACATGATTACAAACCTAAATTTTGCCTTTGAAACTAGGAGACAAAAATTATAAACATCTCTATGCATATCTAATCTCTTTTTTCAACATTAGCCAAGCCTGCAGGCGCTTAATAGTCTGATTCTTGATGTCATTGTAATTAAAGGCAATACTCACAAGGCTGATAAGCATACCAGCTGTACATTAACCCTTATCTTAGCCAAACTGACAACTGCAAATGTGATATCTAATGGTAAAGAAAAGAACACTGGAATTTATTATGGATACCTGACTCTTAAATCCCATAACCATGAAATAAGTAAATTATATCCAGCCTACCGTCAAACTTCTTGTGCCGGGATACAAAAGTGGTGCGTACGAAGTGACTTGTTTCCTCCACTAAGTTTTCAAACTCCAGTTTGCTCTGTTGGCTTAACTTGTCCTCCATTTCTGAGGTGCAGCATGTATATTCCTGAGGGCAGATTCTCAAATGTTCCCCTGGAATCACAAGAAAAAAGGAATTGGAAATATTTGAATACAGACAGAAATGCGCCAGAACCAAATACAAATGATGGCTCTCCAGTTTGGGTGGATTACTTAAAAAGCTCTTTAAGGCTTGACTTCTTGACAGAGAACACTTTGTATCAACAACTTTTCTATAGCTGGGTATTCCTCACATGGGAGGAGAGACACACTTTGCAGAGTTGTTTTGATACTTCAAGAGGTAGAACTATCTCACATCAAAGTGTTTTCTCACTCTGAAGAAGCCTTCCTCATTTACAGAAATACACTTAAGATTTGAAAAACAGTTGCTTGCTGTCTGTCTGTATTCAAAATGCCTGGAGAAATACCTAGTGAGATGACCTGTTACAAGTCATTGGAACTGTCAAAACTCGAAAAACAGAAATCATGCATTTGCTGTCAAAACCTGAAAAACAGAAATTATGCATTTCTGTAGACAGGTCCCACTCGCCCAAGTGCACCAAAACATTCTCCCCTTCTCACCTTCCTTCCCTTCTGCTTAAGTGTATTTTAAAGACTGTTTTTGGATGCCACATGTTTTCTTGGGCAGTATTTCTTGTCAGACTGAGCAAGTGCTCTGCTGAATAAGAGAAAGCAATGAAGAGTTTAATTAATGCTTATGTTATACAGAAATGTAATGTAAAAGGTAATGAAAGCCTCTTATTTAATTCAATAGATTTATCTCTTGAAGCACTGTGCCAGTTCTTCTGACAATATTGCTTTCTTCAGTACAATTTGCAAGTGGAAACCAATTCTTCAGCTCATGAAATTAAAATGGTCTGTTATTACATGAAATGTGAATTTCCAATTGACACTGTACTAAGGGTGTCAGAAACATTTAGCTCAGTTTGTACAAAGGCAGGAATTTCTACCATTCCCTCTTGAGAAATAAAAAGAATGATCTGCCTCTATGATTAAAGTAACTTGTAAGGCAGTGAAAACATTTAGCTTTCTGTACACTGAATTCTGATTAAAAATCCCTCTGCAAATCTCTTAAAGGTGCAAATAAAATGATATACAAAGCCCGAGGGTTAAATAAATACTGGGGACCTGATTCTCATTTATATGGAGACTCCTTTCTACCACTGCTGAGCCATAAAGAAGACTTAAATGCAATTTATACCTACTTTAAGGCTGCTTTTCCCCATTCTTATTATGTAGTGAGGAGAATCAGGCTCTAAGTTTAATGCTTCCCAGGGGTATAATACATTTAGCTGCCGCATCATTTTGAAGGCAGCATCACAAAGAGGTTTGCACATGCTTAGAATAAACATTGTCTTGAGTTTGCCCTCACCTTATTCCAATTTATGTTTCAGTTCTTGAATGAAGACTTTTAATTTGAAATTCAGTCATTCCTCAACCCTGATGCATCCCCATTTTGTTTTGTTTTTTTTTTCTGCAAGAGTTCATTATAATATATGAACTATAATGCCATGAGATTTCTTTTAGCAATCTCAAGATTTTTTTAAAAGCTCAGTTATACATCTTCAGGAAGGATCATTAATTATTATCGGTTACTGTTCAGCAGTACTAGCTACAAGTCCCAGTTATGTCCAAAAGCATCATGATAAAAATCACTGTATAAACCTGGCAAAAAAAGATACCCCATGACCATCAAAATATTGTAAGGATTCTTTCCCATGTCTACTACACCTTCCCAACACAATCAAATAATTCTTTTCCATCCTCAAAATCACACATCTAAGCAAAAAACAAGACACACAGGGCCTGGTGAGCCAGCTGCTGTCAAACATAAAAGATAGTGGCAAACTAATGTTTGCCTTACCCTCTACATCTCTGTCACATTAAACTGAAACTATTCAACAGGTAAAGGAGGTACCACAATAAGAAACAATAAAGGTTATTTTAGTAACAGTAATTTTGTGAGGGTTTTTTTAGATGTCAGAAAGACAAGTAAAGCTGAAATACTGTGTCATTAGAAACAGTACTGCGTGCTTGATTAAATTAAAAAAAAAAACAAAACCCCATCCATAATGTGTGCAACCCCCTTCCTTGATAAATTCAGGGGTTTTTGTTTATTTTAAACACCTACTATCCCAGTTCCAGCCAGAGTCGTAGTTTATGCTTTCATTATGATTATTATGATTATGTCCTCTAGTGCCATTGCAACCAAGGAATTTTATAAAGCTCAGTTTTCTTTCCTCTGTTCATGTCAAGTTCTTTTTCTTTTCTCTCTGGCTCTGTTTGTTTTTCATGACTGCCAGACTATAAACTGAACTAATGGTAATCACCAAGGCACTATGCTTAGTAAGTAACAGTTATGAGTCTAAATTTTTTAAGACACTATGTTGTGCTGAATACTATGACAAATTAAAGCCTATTGAACAGTTATTTTTGCAGCAATATTAATTTTTCTTTCACTTATTTATTTGCAGTCTTACTTTTGCTTTGCTACAAAAATTACTTCTCACTTTGGCTGCTACAAACTCATTCAGATTCCTACTACGCTTCTTTTTTATATGTGTTTATATAAGTTTCTTCTTTTTAATTTACTGGTTATTCATTCATTCATGAGGTTCTTGAATGCTTAAATCTGAAACACACATTTATCAGAAATGCTCGCATCTTCTACATTACCTCATTGCCTTTTTCTCCCAAAAATGTATCTTCCTAAATCATCTAAACTAGCCACCCACCATCATCACAAAAACTTTTCTGAACTTTAATGAACTTTTTTTTAAACTACATTTCTAGTTCTTCTCTTCTCCCCAACCATATACTCACTCCCTGCATTTTTGTAGAATGAAATAATAATGGAAATATTTTGCTACTCTTCACATTCTGCTTCAAGATTTTTGCCTTCTTCTCTTTCCTGAACTAGAGGTTCAGGTCAGATTACAGATAAAGCAAAAGAAAAAGCAAAATTATCTTCCATTGCTTCATGCCAGGAGGTTCAATATACTTTGCAAAGATGAAGATTTTAGAAATTTTGTCTCATAAGCCCTGGCATGTTTATACCAAGCACGACTGGCTGCAGTCTCCATAGGTTCACAACTTAGACAAAACTCATGTGCTTTCCAAGGAATGGCAAATGGAAACTCTCTGGTAAAGTCATTTCTGTATGCCCAATCTTATTTGCTTTTTAAAAGCATGATTTCCATTTTTTACTCATCCTTACCAAATCTCCAACTCATGTTAGAATCACCAGGTCATTAGTTCACTCCTTGTAGAAAAAAAAAAATGGACACAATTTTCTCAAAATAGAAGTAGGGAGTTTAGGGAGGGGATTTTTTTGGTTTCTTTGTTAGTTTGGTTTTTTTAATTAAGGGGTGAGTGCTTTATTTTGGATTTTTTTTTCTTCTTTTATGCAAATCTGTGTCCTAACAGACTGTTTGGATTGGAAATAGCTCTGCAGGCTATATTTGATTGTGCTTCCTCTGATTTCTTGAATTGGATCATTTACCGTTTGCATTTTATAATACATTGTTCTATTACCATAGAAGCAGTTTAATCACTAATTTGTGTATTTACACACCTCAAGTATTTTGCAGGCTGAAAATGTGCTCATAACTAATGCACCAATTCTTGCCCTGGGAAACTCCATATGGTCTAGGTTCTTATGCTAATTTTAGCAACAGTTTTTATGGGACAAGTGGCATTGGACATAACTGACTAGTTTTTCCTTGTTGCAAATGGTGTGTCCCCAAAGACGTTTGACAGAATGTAGTTTCACTGCACCAGCATTTTGCCAGACTGAACAAGTATGAACTCAATATTCCTAGCGACCTACCACAACTCTTCTAACCACTGTTTCCAGCTGAAGATGCTGACCTACAAATATCTCCTCATGTGGCTTATGCTGTATAAATCAAATGAATTGTCTACTACAAATACAGCTACCAGTATTCAATTTCAGTTTTATTACAGCTGTAATCTCACACCTGCCTTCACATGATCCAAATTGGCAAGTTTTGCAGTTGAATTTGGCAATCCTTCTAGCATGCAGCTTTGAAGTGTGATAAAGCAATTTATAAAGCACTTCTTTTATATTCAGGTGTATTGCAGTTTGGTATCCTTAAAACATGCTACAAACCTCACAAGTCTTTAAAAAATTGCAACTTACAGCTCTCAACTGGAATAAATGCTTTTGCTGTGTATCAAAATGCTGAAACTGATTTGACCATTGTATCTACTTGCACTCGATACAATCTGAAGGATCAATAAACCCTAAGGAATATAACATTACCCTTAACAATTTTACCAACAGATTTTCTGAACATCTGATGCAAGCATTGTTTACACTATTAGAACTGGAAGTATGATCCATAAAACATTTAACATCAGGTAGAGTTTTTTATGGGTCATGTTGCAAGTTTAACAGTATTGGAAACAATTCTTTCTCAGGCAGTCAATATTTTATAGTTTCTATCCTAATCATAAATTTAAAAACCTGATACTGGTCTCTTCACAGAATGGTAGGACTAACTGTATGGCTGGAGGGAAGAGAAACATACAGTCACCACACTGCTTCATAAATACAGGAGTGAATAAATGTTGATAAAACAAAGGGGTAAATTCAAGGTGTGTTTTCAAAATTCATCACCTTGTATGCATCAACAGAGTCTAAAGGAAGAAAAGATATCTCTGCATTCTACATCATGCAGATTAGATTAATGTGATTTGGCTATGTCATTAGCTGTGTTCTTTGAAATTAGAAATACTGCTTCAGACCTGCCCATATTCACTCAGCTGTGGAGAAGGCAGTGCAATTTACTAACAGTATGAAATTTAACAAAGGTAAGTTCCAAGTCCTGCACCTGGGATGGAGTAGCCAAAGAGCCAGTACAGGCTACAATCTGTAGCAAGGGGAGATGCCTTGATGAAAAGAATGTGGTCTCCTGGTGGACAACAAGCCAACATGAGTCAGCAGTGCACTGCAGCAGCATTAAAGGCAAATCTCATACTGGGTTGCATCCCCAGCGGCATTACTGGCAGAGACAGAGACATGATCATAC